TTCCCCTCTGAAACCTCCTGAGCACAGTCTTTACTGTTCACATTCCTGTAAGCATTCTGGTCTCCTGAACTCCTACCAGAATTGCCCATCAGAGTGTTTACAACATTCTTCTCCAGCCTGCTTCTTTAAACTTTCCCAAATTCCTCCAATGGGCCAGTTCCAAATGCTTGAAAACCACATGGTCAGGTACCAGTTTTTGTGTTAAGTCAGCTTTCCATTGCTGTTGACTCAAAACACATAACAAGAACAACTTAGAAGGTGAAGTTTATTTTGGGCCCAAATTTCAGAGGTTTAGTCCATGGTTGGAGGGGCACCTCATATCCAAAGCATAACGTGTCTGGGGGTGGGGTGGATAAGAGCACCTAAAATCTTCCCTCAGGAATTTTCAGTGTACAGTATTATTAACTGTGGTCTCCTTGCTGCGTGTTAGATCTCTAGATGCTCTCATCCCATGTAACTGGCAAGTCTGTACCTTTTGACCTAATCTCTCGCCTCCCTGCCTCTGGTAACCACCAGTCTGTGTGTGTGTGTCCGTGTCCCCACCCCCTACCACATTTATTTAGATTCCTAGTATAAATGAGACCTTGCAGTAGTTTTCTTTCTGTGTCTGGCTTATTTCTCAAAATAACTAATTAATTTTTTTTAAAATTTCTGAACACTTTTAGTCTAAAATTGTTGAGGTTTAGGGAATGGTTTAATGTGTGTAAGAAATACCATATTATCCAGCTAAATACCAAGATTATATTTGATAGCTTAGTACTAATGCTTCTATATATTATTGTTCATTTCTAATACTAATTTTAGCTCAGCATAAGTTTCTAAGTCTTAATATCTACTTTTCAGTTCCATAAACCATTACTTCCCAAACAAAGAAAATGTAATATACACTCTTATTTCTCCAAATAAATAAATTTTCATTCAAAACTTACCATAAATTTAGAAAAAAGTTCTTTTAAACTCATCACATGCATTGACATTCTTTGATATTTACGGCTTAATTTCAAGGTCATAATAAAATGAATTAAGCAACAAACATTTAAATTTTGAGAAATTCATTGGTCGGTCTGCCATTGCAGAAGTCAGGTTCAATTTCTTAGGCATGAAGTTTCTGCTCCCATTTCACTCTCCCTCATACATATTCATATTGAATTATATCTACCATATAACATGACATACAATAGGTACTAGTCAGCTTTTTCTGAATGTCTTCTGCTTGGATTTTTTTTTTTTTCCATTTTAAAGGGTTGTTTGCAGACAGCATTAAGAAAGCATAGATAGCTAATTATAACTGGCTTTTGTTATAACAGACTTTTGAAAAAGAGGAAAGAACTTAAAAATTCTTAAATATTGCGTAACTCCACTGCTTAGTGTACAGTAACTACTATGTAAATGTTGTTATTTTTAGCAGTAATAAAACTTGCTTTAGGACAACTGACATTTAAAAATCTCAGTGGATAAATATAAAAGTGAGATGATTATTTATATTTACATTATATTTTTCACTTCAAGAAATTATTTATAGCAGAGTATTTTAAAAATAGTGACACCCTTAGGGTAAATAAAACATTACATTCACCAAAAATTATGCTTGCCATATTTCAGGCTCACTCCATTGTAGAAAGCTTGTAACATGTTCCTCACACAGTTGTAGTATACTCTAGTGACAGTGATCTCCAGCATTCTGAAAAGTACAGCTGATTCTTGTTATTTGGTAGTCATAGTCTGTAGAGTCACTGTGAACACTGAATTAGCCAATACTGAACCACTGCTCCTGTGGGACTCTGATCATGACATTTGGAACACATACCCTTGTCTTATGTGTGTTTCTATTAAAGACACCTTTTAAAAAACAAATTGTTGGTGCTTTAATATTAAACTCACAGCCAAGAGCACGGTGGTGACTCAAGCCTGAGCAAAGCTTATGGGACACGTACATGCTATACTTAAAACACATAGCAGGCTTTGTTCAGTTAGGAACACTACATAGCACTGAAGTGTGACACTTGTCCATCACAAACAGTGAAGTCACCAGCAAAAAACTAAAAATGTGAGAGTTATGATAAATAGGCCCCGAGAAGAAGACTTGTCTGTAGTGTGAAGCTGAAGTGAGAAGGCAGAGTGTCACTGTGTTCACCTGTTCAGTGTTTCATATTGAACTCAGAATCTTCACTGCTTGTCACATGTCACAGTTCTGTATTGGTTTTGGGGTTGCAAATAAGTTTTACCAAATAAATTCTCAAATAATGGAATCTACATCCAATGAGGATCAATTGTATCACATCTTTGATTGACTGTGCTTTGAGATTAAGCAATAGAAATATAATCACCATTAACAGTCATTTTTAATAATGAGTATATTTTAATATTTTTCAGAACTGATATTAACTTTTCTCTCATGTTGTATTTTCTGGGTAATGATTTCTTAACTCATCACCCTTGTCTGTAGATAGCTATGGGCCCAGGCACTGTTCTAGGCTCTGGAGATGCAATAGAAAACTCAATATATAAAAATACGAGATCACGTATATTTTCCATTCCATTGGAATAGACAGGTAATGATGCAAGATAAATATATAGAATACAAATCAGGTTAGAAAGCCATTAGTACTAAGAACAAAATTACAAAATCTAGCAAGGAAGGAGTAAATGGATACCTGGAGGGTTGTGTTCTGGTGATCTTTTGTCACTACTTGGTGACTTGTCAAACAACAATTTGTTTTATTATCTTTGAATTTCTGGACATGAATAAATCTCAGATGCATTGTTCTTCTTTGGGATGTCTCAGATACTGTAATCAGACGACAACTGGGGCTGGAGTCACCTGAATTCTTCTTTATTCACCATTTTGGTGTCAGGACTGGAATGCTTAGATTTAAATGTAAGAGTTAAGACTGTATAACCCTTAGAAGAAGGCAGAGGAGTAAGTCATGATTTGTGTTTAGGGAGAATCATGATTTTGTTTCTTAGGACACCAAAATGGGCAACAAAAAAAACAAATAAATTGGACTACATCAAAATTTAAAAATTTTGTGGTTCAGTGAACATCATCAAGAAAGTGAAAACATAACGAACCCCAAAATGGTAGAAAATATTTATATGTCGTAACTTGGAAAGGGCTTATATCTAGAATATATATAAAGAACTTTTATGACAATATTAAATGTTCAAACAGTGTGATGTTATTCAGTTATAAAAAATAATGAAGTATTGATGCATGTTGGAATCCGATGAATCTTGAAAATAAGCTAAGTGATCCCACGCATGAAATGTGTGGAATGGGAAAAGGATAAAGAAATGTAAAGTAGCTTAGTGGTTGCTTAGGGTGAAGTCTGGGCAGAAAGCATAGTGACTCCAGTGACTATGGGATTTAGTTTGAGAGATGAAAATATTCCATATTGTATTGTGGCAGTGGGGTACACAGTGGGGTACGAATCCACTGTAGAGCATTGGATTTTATGCTTTAGATATGTTCATTGTATGGTATGTGAATGATATTTCAGTAAAGTTCATTTTTAAAAAGGTGATAGAGGGGCTGGGGTTGTGGCTCAGCGTAAAGCGCTTGCCTAGCATGTGCGAGGCCCTGGGTTCAATCCTCAGCACCACATACAAATAAGTAAACAAAATAAAGATATTAAAAAATATATATATATTTTTAAAAAGGTGATAGATTATGGACTGGAGATGTTTAGTAGACCAAAGGGTTGTTGAAGTAAAAAAATTCATCCTTGGAGAGATTGAAATCAGTAGCGATTATGATAGAAGTGTTGTTGGAAAGAGTGACAGTGAGCCAGGAACCAATACCTTCAAAAGGAGTAATAATCTGAAGAAGAGTTGATAATTGCATCAGTAGTGTCTGTGTTTGATGATAGACATGTAAAGCTTAGTGCTTTTGTAGTGGAGAGAGGGAGAATATTCTCAAGGTAGAAGTGAGGAACCTGAAAAATACCACGGCGTATTTAGGGCCCAGGACACAGGAGGCTTGGCCGAGAACGCAGTGCTCTAGAGGACATGTCACTAGGGGATAGCAGACATTGTTGTAAACTTTTATGTTGTCACAGAACACTTCTACAATACATAAGATAACTTTCGAATACTTGTGGGCTTTCATTTTGGTAGCTTTTTGATTGTTACACATATAATGGAACTAGAGTCTGTTTTCTGATGATTACTTTATCTCCTCAGTGCTTTTCTCCTCAGTCTATTGCACGGTGCTGATATACAGACTGCACAGTTAGTTGATCTTCATTTGTTCAGTTTTTTGTGATAGAGAGGATGTAGATGCTTGTCCCTTTTGGCTGCTCTAAAGTAAGACTTGCAAAAACTGAAGGTGTTGCCATTTGCATCACTACTTAATCCTCCGCTGTTGTTGGCCTTAAGATTGGCTCAGTGGTAAAACAGTGTGAATGGTACACTGAAAACCTTGGAATTTTAAAAATCATACATAAAAATACAAAGGGAGTGAATTTATTACCACTATTATGTTCCAAGTACAAGTAGCTTCAAAATGATGGGACTGGTGCCATTGTGACGTTGACCATTCAGAAAAGATGCTGGTCATTGAGTTATGATAGTATTTCCTGACTGAATAAAAGCTTTGGTCCTAAACATTGCATTTACCGTTTTGTTATCAAATTTACTTTTTTCATAAGTCTTAATGGTAACTTGTACAAAATCATAGCAAATTGTTAGAGTTGAGATTCAGAAGTCCTTTTATCTGGTTCTACAATCTGTACCATGCTCACAGTTACACTTCCTTGATAAAACACAGCTTTCTACTTTTCTGTAAAGAAGTGAGTTCATGGGCCAGGGACATAGAGTGCTTGTCTAGCATGTGTGTCAGCCCTGGTTCAATCCCCTGTACCACCAAAACAAGAGTGAATTTATAATAGCTGATAACTTGTATGGAAAAAGAGGTAGTTTGCTAATTTTGTAATTTTTGGAAAAATAACCTTATTTCTGTCAATAGCTCCTAAATGTTTTTCTTTTTTGTTTTCTATCAGGACGTCTTGCATGGCTCGTTTATTTAGTTGGGACAGTTGTAGGAGGAAGATTAACATATACCAGTACAGATGAGCACGATGCTATGGATGGAGAGTTATCCTGTAGGTAAGTATTGGTCATGTACCTACAGAAATCAAGAGTTAAGAAATTAGTCATTGAGTTAGTATTATGTGCTAAAGCATTTTGAGAAACGTGTTATTTTCCTTGCTCTTGAGGACAAAAACCAAGATTTAGGGGTTAAGCAATTTAAGAAGTCAAATCTCCAGTAAGTAATTTTTTTAGACATTTGTTGCAACAGTGTGATTAAGATGTAGGTTGCTTTTGCTCTTTAGGACCTGATAAAGCTACAAAATTGGTATGTATTGGGATCATGCGAAAATTAGGATCACATATGTGTGGTCAAAAAGTAATAGTTTCTTTATGATTGTTGGCTAGAGGTTTCACCAAATGACCACGGCCTTCATAAGAAGCGATTGAATTATCCTTTACGTGTTTCTGTTCTAAACTGAGGAATATTTCTGTGTGCAAATAGTACAATTGAATTGATTTTTTTTTCACATATTCTGATTTATTTTTAATATCATCTTAGAGTCATTCACATTTTTGTTACTTAATTCAAATAAAATGAAAACTCATGTTAATTTCAAGATTACTACCTTAATTTTGGTAAAGACCCTTTGAGTTTTTAAAATTAATGCATGTGAGTATATGTATGCTACATGTGTACTTTCCAACTTTTTTAAGCCAAAATTATTATAATATTGTTTTTTTGAACCAAAATGGAGAGGATAATAATCCATAATCATTTTGAACTATTAATAAGAATTAAATGAGAGGCTAGAGTTGTAGCTCAGTGGTAGAGCATTTGCCTCGCAATTGTGAGGCACTGGGTTCCTCCTAGCTCCACATAAAAACAAATAAAGGCATTGAGTCCATATACAACTAAAAAAAAAAATAAAGAATTAAATAAGTTAATATTTTTAAAAATACTTAGAGCATTGCCTTGCAAACAGTGATGTATTACACATACACATACATCTTTAAATAAAATATAATACTGTGAACATTTAACATAGACTTAAAATATTATAAATTGTACCGTAATTTAAATAGACCCTGGCTTTTGGAACTTCAGATTGTTTCTCAGTTTTTCCTTATTATAAATTGCTTTCAGGTATGTTATTTCATTCATCTTTGTGTGAATTGAAAGAATTTCATTAGAGTTCATTCTGGAAAGCTGAACAGCTAGTCAAGAGAGTATGTAGCTTTTTACAGACTTGCAGTACATATGACCAGATGGCCTTCTGTACATGTTGAACAGCTCTAATGAGAAAATCCAAAATCCAGAATGCTCCAAAATCTGAAACTGAGTGCCAGCATGACACAAAGTTTTAGATTTTGTTGGAGCATTTTGGATTTTGGATTTTCAGGTTAGGAATGCTCATTCCATAGTGTCTACAAAAATTACAAAATCCAAATAACCCTGAAATCTGAAATGCTTCTGTTTTTTTTTTTTTTTTTTGGATAAGATATACCTAGCTTATGCAAGTTTATCCTCTGAACCCAAAGAGTTATCATTTTAACTCTCATAGCTATGAGAGTTATCATTTTCATCAGTTTCATCAGTTGAATGCCAGATAATAGGATTCTTACTGTTGTCAGTTTTATGTAACCAATGTCTTCTTTTTTGGCTGGGGAGTAGAGGGGAGGGGAGCGGGGATTGAACCCCAGGATGCTTTACTACTTACTACCCCAGGATGTTTTTTTTTTTTTTAAGTTTGAAACAGGGTTTCACTAAGTTTCTGAGGAGCTTGCTAAGTTGCTGAGGCTAGCCTCGAACTTGCAGTCCTCTTTTCTTAGTGTTCTGAGTTGATGCAAATGGCAACACCTTCAGTTTTTGCAAGTCTTACTTTAGAGCAGCCAAAAGGGACAAGCATCTACATCCTCTCTATCACAAAAAACTGAACAAATGAAGATCAACTAACTGTGCAGTCTGTATATCAGCACCGTGCAATAGACTGAGGAGAAAAGCACTGAGGAGATAAAGTAATCATCAGAAAACAGACTCTAGTTCCATTATATGTGTAACAATCAAAAAGCTACCAAAATGAAAGCCCACAAGTATTCGAAAGTTATCTTATGTATTGTAGAAGTGTTCTGTGACAACATAAAAGTTTACAACAATGTCTGCTATCCCCTAGTGACATGTCCTCTAGAGCACTGCGTTCTCGGCCAAGCCTCCTGTGTCCTGGGCCCTAAATACGCCGTGGTATTTTTCAGGTTCCTCACTTCTACCTTGAGAATATTCTCCCTCTCTCCACTACAAAAGCACTAAGCTTTACATGTCTATCATCTAATATTTTCTACTCCTGTTTTGCCATTTATATTTGTGATTTTTTTATGTTAACTGTATTATTTATCTGATATTCTTTGGTAATTATCTTTTCTAGTTTATTTGTAATAAATAATTCAGTATAAAAGATCTCAATATTCTGCTATTCAGAATATTGGTGTTAACCAGTTAATACCAATTCCACCTTCTAGAGGTTTGAAATATCATCATATTTTATGCAAAATTCTTGTGTCTTTTTACCGGTGGTCTTCAGGAAAAGGGAGAAGCCGTGGAATTAAACTGATCAAACTGTCCTGTGTACACGTATGAATACACCACAGTGAATTCCACCTTTGTGTATATCTATAATGCACTAATTAAAAAAAAAAAAAAAACTACAAAGAACTAGAAGGAAGACTGGTAGAATTCAGGAAAGGGGACAGGAAGAGGGAGGAGGGAAGGGAAAGGGAAAGTCCTGAGGTCTAAACTGGAGTAAATTAAATTGCATGCTTCTATAGTATGTCAGAATGAGCCCCAATAATATGTATAACTGTAATGCGCTAACAAATAAAAATAAATTTCTTGTGTCTTTTTCCAGGCCTTTCAATGCTGTCACCCTAGTAAAGTCCTTAAAACCATTATACCTGGTTGATATTCTCTCTCATAATTATACTAAATATATTCCTGTTTAAATTATTGTAATTTTGAATACGAATTTTATTTTCATTCCATACCTTTTTCAACTTTTAAATTATCAAATTATTTCAACTTTTGAACCTGAATAGACATAAATATTTTCAGTTATTTTAAAGATTTATTATTTCCTATATCAAATTGAGTTACTTGAAAATATGAATAATAAGTGTTTGAGGCTTTCTTAAAATGCTTTAGTTAATTTTTAACCAACTAAAAAATTTGCTTTTGTATCATCTTTTAAAATGGTATTACATATTTATCGAAATGGCCACTACATATTCTTTTGGTTGTAGTTTGAATTTTTGAAAAAATGCTTTTGTCACTAAGTAGGGGAGTATATACACTGTCAGTGTTTCTGAGAAAATATGTAATAGAAAAAAAAGCAAATATACATTTGCAAATTAGGAAACAATCATTTTTTTCCTTAAACAGCAAACATATTTAAATAAGATTTATTTTGTATATTAGCCTGCATTACCTAGAAAACAATGTTAGGTAAAGCTTATGGGCTTTATTGAAAGTGGGCATTAATGTGCATTTTTCAGAAAGGAATAGTAGAACAGGGAAAATAGGGGAGCCAGTAGAAGACAAATGCAGTCAATTCATTATTCCACATTGTGTTTTTGTGAATTCACCTATTTGATGAATGTGTTTGTCACACCTGAGTCAGTCTGCATGGTGCCTTTGCTGTCCTGTGCAGGTGGGACAGAGTTTGCATAAAAGTCAGTCCTCTGCATTCTTGCTTCAGCTTTCATTGTCCAAACAAGTGTCCCTTTGCAGTTCAATTGGTGCCACATACGTCATATTTTCATGCTCTTTGTTTGCTCTTACTGTTTACCCAACTGTAGTACTTCTCCATGTACCTCACTGAGAAAATACCTGAGCTGGAGAAGCTTCGTTCACACCCAAGTTCAATGTTAGCAAATCAACATTATATATTATATATGGTGTCCTTAAGCAGTAAAACAAAAAAAGTCATGATCTGTTGACAAAAATGCAGCCAGATGCTAGTAGGAACCTCAGCCTCTGTTTCCCTTAGGAACAGTGATTCAGCATTCACTGATCGAGTGTTCTCAACAACTTTACAGCACACAGCTACCATGGACTTTGACAGTCAACTGTGTAAGGCTGTGCATTACTGAGAAAACATAGTTGGTTGCTTGCTTTTTACAGGAATTTTCACCAGAGGCCACATGGAACCCTGTTCTTCAAAACAGCCCATGGTAGGGGCTGCTCAGGGCAAGCAATTTGTCTGTTGGCTTCTTTCTGCAACCCCTTTCTAATGGTTTACATTTTCCACTGGGGTTTCTAATTTTCCACACTTTTTAGTTGTGTATCGTGACCTCTTTGAAGAGCTACTGGGGAAGCCAGAGTTTTCTCTTGGTCCTATGGAGTTGGGACTACAGGCTGGAACTGTGGTGGGTCTTCTTTCTCCCCTGGGGTGAGGATTTATAACTGCAGGAACTGTGAATCCTTACTGAGACTACAAGAAAGTGCCAGGGATCGGGGATGGGTGAGAGGTGTGGTGGGGTTGATGGATATGCAGGGTGGGCTATACAAATTCAAGGTAGGGTATGTGCTAGGACTCACACCTTGTTTAGAACAATGTGATTGTGTATTAGAGTATTGAGTTTCTGAATTAGGATGAGCTCATATAAAATTGTAAAATATCACTTTCATATGAAGAAGTTTCAGGTGACTAGAACTGTAATACTGTTGGCTTCTGTATGTGGTCATGATACCTGCCCACCCCTGAGGAGGACACTGACTATTAAAAGAAGACCCTACAACTCCTGCCAGAAGTCTATGTGCTGTTTTAACATCAAAAGTTTACAATGTTATGATAATTTACAATTAAAATGGATTACTTTAGCATATTTAAATATGTTACTTTAACTTGATGTACTCAGGCCTCAGAAGTCCAATTGAGTTAACCTAATTTTGCCGTGATTTTAGTAGACTTTGCTATAACCGAATGTGAACCTCTTAAGATATTCCCAGGGTTTTGTCTTACCTGTCACGGATCCTCTCAGTTTGCTTCTTCCAGACTCTTTCTCTTTGGCTCTGCCTGCCCTTG